AATAACACAAAGATCCTAGGTTAGGTTTTGGTTTTGTATTAGCATTTAGTTCATTTACATTTAATAAAATTATTAATACATCTGGGTTTAACCTACTTTCTTACTATTTTACTTTCTATATGTATCACCTGTTCTCTGTTTATTTTTCTCTATACTCTTGACTTCTTTTGGATTGGTTTATTCTTATTATCCTATTTTTTCCTCTTCTGTTGGCTTGAAAGTTATATGCTCTCTTCTCAATTTTTAAATTAAGTGGTTGCCCTAGAGTTTTTTTTTTTTTACACTAAACTACAAATCTGAGAATGCCCTCCTAGAGTTTAAAAGATGCGTCCATGTTTCACCAAAGTCTAATGTTGATGTTTACCTTCTTTCTCGACAGAGTAAGGATGTTAGAACACGTTAACTCCATTTGCCCATTGTTGTCATTTATCATCATTCTTTCTGCTTTAAATTACACATGATTGTTTTATGCAGTCAAAGATTTGGGTTTTTACCCTCATATTTACTATACTCGTACCTCATTCCTTCCTGAATATCTGACTTTACGGCTGGATCTGGATAATTTTCCTTCTCCATGAAGAATGAAAGACAGTGCGAGTCTACTGGTAATGAATTCTTTAAATTTTTTTTGTCCGAAAAATTTGAATTTCACCTTCACTCTTGAAGGATACATTTGCTAGATGATAGAATCCCATGTTGGCTGTTATCTTCTTTCATCTCCAAACATCTCAGTCTGTTGTCTTCCTGCTCACAGTGTTTCTGTTCAGAAGTCAGATATCAGAGTTACTATTGTTCCTTTGAAGGTAATCTCCATTTTCCTTGTGGTTGCTTTTATCTTTTTTTTCTTCTGAGACAGGGTCTTACTCTCTTGCCCAGGCTGGAGTACAGTGGCATCATCACAGCTCACTGCAACCTCAAACTCCTGGGCTCAAGCCATCCTCCTGCCTCAGCCTCCTGAGTAGCTGGACTATAGGCGTGCACCACCACGCCTGGCTAATTTTTTATTTTTTGTAGAGACTGTGTTGCTCTAGCTGGTCTCAAACTCCTGACCACAAGTGATCCTCCCGCCTCGGCCTATAAAGCGTTAGGATTACAGGCGCGAGCCACCGTGCCCAGCCTATTTGTTTTTCTTTGTTCTCTCCATCCCTCCTTTCTTTTTTTGTGCCTAAGTATGGTTTTCTTTTTATTTGTCTCCTTTGGTTTGTAGGACTTTTAAAGTTTGTGGCATAATGTTTTTGAATCAGTTTTAGTAAGTGCCTAGACATCTTGTTAAACGCTCCTTTGCCCATTCTTTGGCATCTCATCCTGGAATTCCAAACGTATGTGTCTTAGACTCTCTCACTCTTCTGTCTCTTACCTGCAGTTCTATACCTATCATTTTATTGTTTTCTCTGCTTCATTGCTTCATTCTGGATATTTTTATCTGACTGGCTTTGAGTTCATTAATTCTCTTTTTTT